AACATAAATATATATTATTATATTAGTATAGGGCTGGTGGGCATATATAGGAGGACAAACATGATGAGACACACTGTATATACTATATCAGATGTTGGTATTTAAATACTTAACATTATATACAGTAATAAAGCATTATTATTATTATTACTATGTACCTACCTATAAACATATATACACTGCAGTCTTCCGATTCGATTCATGCTTTGCAACAATGATAATATTATAAAATCACAATATTGCAGTGGGCGCGGGCTAAGGTAGGTGACTCGTTAGTCGTTTGAGACGAATTTGAGGAAATGCTGCATAATATAAATCTTTGATTTATCAGCGGTTTCATAGGTTAAAAACTATTCTCTAATTATCACTCGCCAATAATGTTGCGTTTTGTAAAGGTCACTACAGTGGCTATATATAATATATAATATGCAAAAAAAAAACCATACATACTATAATACATTTATTTTAATTTTTGAATCATCGGGTGTTTCTTCGCTTGTGCAATATATACTCAAAGAATAAACCACAGATAACGTGTATTTTTAATTTTTATATAATACGTACGAGTGAAGTATAATATGCAATACCCGCTATACCGTACCGTACTATACGAGTATAATAAAATAATATGTATATATACATATAGATTTATGTATATATAATACAAAGTCTACACCTCATTTACAGTCCATCACCGTACTACAATATCATAATATACATTTAACATTATACAATAATACAATATTAATTAAATATTTTATACCGATAATGTATAATTGGTGGTTGCGCGTTATTAGCAAGGAATGAAATGAGAAAAGTTGCACAACTAAATTATAATCGTGTCTATGATAATCGACCAAATGCATGATTAAAATAGATGTTTTACATAATTCCTGAAGGCATATCACACACTCGGGTAGTCGTGTGCACACACATTACTATACATTATGATAGGATCGGACTGCCATGTAATAAGGAACAAAAACATATCATTCTAATTTGAAGGATTTAGTTTTTTGAAAATATATTATACACTAATTTCTGCTTTACCTATCTATTTATTATTTTGTTCACTCTGACGGGATGCCGTTTAGTTGCCACATGCGTCATTATTGTTGCATTATATTTAATAGGTCATAGAACTAATTTTGTATTCAGACTCGTATTATACTAACTATACTTCAAACAAACCATTAGTCAAATTATGCTTACCTTCTGTTAATAGGCAATTTAAACACCAATATTATATTTTTTTTTTTTTGTAATAACATGCATTCAATACCTATTCATTTAAATGAAATATTATAAGATACTTGGTCAAATATATAAACATAATATTCTTCTTATTATTGTATTTACCTATTTGTCCATTGTTTCAGGATTGTTTATTAATATTTCGTATACCGTATAAGTATAGGTACATGTATAAAATATACTTATTGTCTATAACGTCCATCACGCCATTGCTGCTTTCACTGAAATGGTTGTCAATAGGTACTATCAATAGTATTGATTTTTATAAAAAAAATTAGTACCTATACTAAAGACAATTTATAACGACTGATTAGTGATTAGTATACGTCATGTCAAAATACTGAGAATTAATTTGTTTGAGACAGATGGAGTTGCGTGAAGTCAGACTATCCATATTGACATAATATAGTATATTATACTCATATCTACTTCAAAGTTCAAACTTTCACCGATATTTTGAAGCTTAATTGACTATTTAAAAGTTTTCTGAATATGGAGCTTCATGCTTTTCTCGAAAAAAAAATAATAAGTTTGGTAAAGGCAGCTTACTTTACATGGCTCCCTACATTGTTTTAATTACTTAATGTATTCAGTAATATTTTGGAACTTAATTGGAGCTATTTGGAACCAAGTTTTCCAAATTTGGAACTCGATACTATAAAAAAACAAAAATGCATTCTATGTATACCTAAATTACATTTGATTATATTTTTAAACTTAAATAAGTTTTAAAATTTAAATATATTGATGTACCTACTTAAGTAACGTATATGAAAAAAGCGGGTAAGTGGATGTCGCTCTACTGTACAGTAGGTTACAAGTGGGTCATTGTATAATGGATTGTATTAAACTTGAATTCAATGATATATAATATCATTGTATAAGAAAAACGATTCTGAGCAGAGACGGTTTGTCAGTCTGGATATTTGATATTGTTATTAGTTATTATATCATGTAAATTGAATTAATATTATAATTATATTATTATTTTTTATTCGTGTCTATGGTAATAAACAAATCGTTAGAAATTAAAATCCAATTTTTAGCAGTTTTTCGTAATTTTTCGATGGTTTTTACATTGGCATTAAATAACTATTGATAAAATCGAAAAACTACCTCTTTAAAGTACCATCTTGATCCAATTTGCTAAAAGATAAGATATTATATGTGGAAATCGAAGTACTCCTTCTGGTTAGAAATTGTGTATACAGGATATAAAAAAAATAAATAAAAAAACACCATTGTAAAACCACTAGCTTCCTCGCTCCGCTCAGAATCTAAAATTAATATCACAATTCTATAGCGTAAAATAAAATGTTGTCCCAAGAGTAAAATATAATGGAAACCCCTCCAATGTTCATAAGTAATAATAAATGAAGTGTAACAGCTAAAAGCATGTTAGCTCCTCTGCTACGATGCTATGATTAAAAGATATTACAATTTTCAATAATCAACAGGCAAAAATTATTTTATATAATCATCATGATTATTTTTATTTTTTAATGTTATACAAAATGATATTAATTACTAGAAGTGAAATTCATTTTTTTTAGTTAATTGTATAACAAATTTTTATATAAGTAATACAACATTTTAGTTATTTATATAATAATAATGATTTTTTCAACTTTTATTTTGCAATTTTTGTCAGTTTTTATTTTTTTGATGATTTATTTTTGTTTTTAAGATATTGATGGTATTTTTCGGAATTTGGTTTCTTTTATCTAAGTTATTAGATCCTTAGTCCCAATTAATAGTTTTTGTTTATCTTTAGCATAATATATGTTTCAGGATTCAAGCTACTAGCTAGTATAAATATTATATTGAATATATTCTCATATCCATAACATTTAAAATATTTATTTATTTTCATTTTAAAATTGTTTTCTCCGAGTTTGGAAAAATAGGTTCAAAATAGTTCAAAATACCTACGTATCAAAACTTATATAAACATAATTAAAATGTTGTAATAAGAAATCTATGTTTTACAATTAGGATTAGCTTAAAAATAAATTTGTGTTCATAGTAATTAACATAGATTACTAAACATTATTAAAGAAAAAGAATCTTAAATGCTTACAATAAATTTTTGACTTTTAGGATAAATTTTAATTATATGCTATAGTATGTGCCTTTAAGCTATTGCACTTCATCTATTATTATGGTCATTGTTCTCGAGTCTCGGGCCTTCAGAACATTTTCCTCTTAGGCCAACATGGCAACATTTTATTTTATGCCATAGAGAATTGTGTTACCCCATTCTTTTTATTTATATTTTATTTGCATACATTCATACTTTTAAATTTTGAAACTTAATTTAGGTATAAATACATTAAATGTTTTTTTTTTTTAAAGTATTAAGTTCAAATTTCAGAAAATTCAGAAATTTTAGGTTCCAAATACTTAAAATTAAGTTCTAAAATATTGGTGAAGGCTTGAAGTCAATATGACAACATTAGGGAGGGACTGAATTCACGAACAGGGCAGAATTATTATCAAACAGAACGTTATTTCTAATTGTCCTAATTGTCATGATAATAAAATTAATTTAATTAATTTACAACAGGGTCGTATTTACGGGGGTGGATATGGGGACAAATCCGCCCCTGGCTTTTTAAATACATGTCTATTATTATATTATAATTATTACATCGTAATCTGTAAGCTAAAATTCTTGTCATCCACCCCCTACAAAAAATACTAAATACGCCACTAATTTACAACTATTATAAAATATAATAATATTGTATTACTTATACTGGTTGAATCACATGAATACACGATGTACCTAACTGGGTCATATTATATAATATATACGTATCATTAAGTCCTGAAATCCCTCAGCAACACTAGCCAATGTCCAATGCCTCATGCCCCATTTTTTGTTAAGCAATAGTAGTTTAGTATAGTCTGCATGATATCATTTAATAGGTGATTCTGTATATTCTGAAACATTTCTATACAGAATAAAATATCAGATATACCACATACGTTCATCGTATAATTTTATATTGAAGACCACCACACTCCAAGTATAAGACGGTAACTTTAACGCTGCGATGGAACATAGATGAATTTATAACTTAATATAATATATAAAATAAATATTATTTTAATCGAACTAACAAAATATAATTTATTATTGCATTGCCATATTAGTAATCCAAATGAAAAAATCCGACTGAAAACGTTTCAACGACATCCCAATCGTTATTCGTCAGCTAACGTACGAAATCCACTGCGAGATTCGGTGTCGATCGAATTGAATATATATGACCCAATAATAACATAATAATAACATAATAATCTTTTAAAATATTAAAATATTACATAATATTATTATACACCCGTATTTTTTCTTGAAATTTTTTTTACGGGGAAAAAATTCTCTCACGACCTTCAGCATTAACAATATATATGTATAATATAACGTATATTATTTAAATAAATCACGTTCGTTTTTTTTTTTGTTTGTTTTTTTCTTCCTTTCTTCCTCTCACGCACACAAACAAACGCAAACACGCACACGGACACACAATACTTATCTCGTGTCTGCGGCGGGCACCCGAAACATGGTGCGCGGAACCGCAATCCATAAAGTCCAGGGTTATCCATACGGGTGGGGTCGCCGGCCGGCTCGCGTATATAAGCTGGATCGGTAGAACTCTTCAGCACAACGAATCCGTCTCCTCATCACTGCAGATCATCGAATTCTACAGCTGACACACAACAAATCCCAAACCACCATGAATACCTTCGTCAAAGTGAGTGTTTATATACTATATTTCTGCAATATGTTAGGTGTACAGATGTATTTGTCTATTGTAGACACTCGGGCTCTTATAGACGCGTATTTCAACGTCTATAAATATATCGATCTCTATACTAAATATATTATATTTTATAAGTTTTCAATGATTGTTACGATTACAATAGCTGCGCTAAGTTAACACTGAAGTATACAATCATATATATATATTATATACTTCGGCATTCTCAACATCATTTCTGTTCTACTCTATTATAGGTGTTCGTCGTGCTGGCTGTAGCCGTAGCTCTAGCTAAGAGCGAAGAAGCCAAAAAAGAAACCAAAGTCGTCGAGAAACGATCAGATAAATCTGATCTGACTCCAGCGGCCACCGGACGATGTAAGTAGACATGAAATCTTTAAACCATAAAGATTAAACTTATTTTCTCAAAAGACTTATTATTTATAATATATAATTATATTTTTCGGTTGAAGTCTCTCATTTTGTTGATACCTAGTTTTATTCCAAGTCTTTTATTTAAGTTATATCGTTTCTTATTATTAAAATTTAAACTATTTTCAAAGACACAAATTTAATTATACGTTTATTTTACATACAATTTGTTTGTATTCACTTAAGAGAGGTATCTAAACTTTTTCGCAAATTTTTTCAATACAATATTATATTCACAAAATGTTATGACTTTAAGAATATTAAAATAATCATTTATTATGACACGATCGTACAAATTCACGAAGACCACGTGTCGACAAACACCAAAAAATCTAAATTTTTTCAAAATAAAATATAGGTAACACATTAGTTTAGCTAGGTTTTGTGTATATATTATTCACTTCTTTCTCGTTTGAGTTTCTATTACATAACGTCTCTGTCATTTCTCAACAATATTGAGTCAGTATTGTAGTTTTTATGGATAACCATTCTAGCAAATCTATCTAAGTATACGGTATATACAATTATTCAAAGCCTCCAATACACTCGTCATAATATTTTGGGGGTGCTATACAACTTCGAAATCCGTCGAAGACTTTTTGAATGTTATCGGCTGCAATTTTTAAAAACTGTATAGTGATCGCAGTTAATTAATAATACTTCATTAAGATTCGCATAGTTTTCGCCGAACCCCGAGGAATACCAGTTGTCGCGGAAAATCGAAACCAGAGATAAAACTACACTAATCGTTATAGTAAAGGTTTCATAAATGTTCGTCCTGATATTATTGTTACAACCATCGTCTCCGGTCCTCCAAGGTTCCAATTTACGTACCTACTATATGTAATGCGTACCTACACGGCTACACGGACCGACGACAGTTATATTGCACTTACCTGCGACGGCCATCACGAAATACGCTCACACACGTCGTGTTTAAACAAAATTAAACGCAAACACTATATAATATATATAACCACACGCACTTACATCAACGCGTATCCTTCGCTGAATTACTGTCCATACCTACGTAAGGAAAACAACAGAAAAACCCCAAACCGGACGCGGTTTTCCTGCGTGAGGAATCTGCTGTCCGCGCCGTATGTTGCGTGCGCCTGCAGTATAGCAACACGTGTGTGAACGTCCGTGATGACTACGGGACCGTGTCTTTTAAGATTACTTCTAAGACCATCCGAGCGACCTTCGTGGGTTTTGTAATAGGCGCGTGTGTTTGTATTTTGTTCATATTTTTTTTTTCACCATTATCGTTTTAACAATGAGAAACCTCGACGAGTTCAACTCGTGTTACCGGTGACAACTACACATAATTTAATATAATGATATCATTATTATGTTGTCCACCGCTCATCCGATCGAAATCATGATTATACTATTATCCCACCATAATATTATATACACCTACTTTCCGCAATATACTACTTTGTAATGACGACAATTTTTATTGTACTTGACGTGTTTGGTTTTTTCGCATTATTATAGCGTTCTCGGGCGGTTACAACAGTTACCCGACTGGCTACAGCAGCGGATACAACAGCGGTTACAACAGCTACCCGTCCACCTACAGTGGAGGCTACAGCAGTTACCCATCGTACAGCAGCTATCCATCATCCGCATACACCGGCGGCTACTCTTCCGGCTACGGAAACGGCTACGGAAGCGGCTACGGAAACGGTTACAACAGCGGCTACAGCAAGTACCCGAGCAGTGGTTACGGTAACAACCAGTACTACGGTGGATACGATCAGGGATACAACCAGGGCTACAACAAATACCCATCGGCTTACTCGTACAGTAACAGCTACAACTACCCAGGATCGTACAGCTCCGGTTATGGTCACAACAACTACGACAACGACAACTACGGCGCCCATGGTTACACCGGTTACAGCGGTTATAACAAGGGATACAGCTCATACCCACAATCCACTGGCTACGGTTACAACAAATGGTAATAACCGTTTCCGATCATTTTTCATACCGACGACGATAACTTGATGGAATTTTGCTCTTTTTTTTCTTGCGAGTTTTTTTCATTACGAAAACAAAATTCCAAGTTCATTTCTTTTAATGATATGTAAAAACCTTATTCGTGTATTTTTATGTAATATGTATATATATACATAATATAAATAATTTAATTTATTGTCTTCCAATATATATATATGTAATAAACAAAATATATTATTTTACAAAGTAAATCAGTGCGTTCAATTAAATATACCTAGTCCTACTTTTATTGTTTAAATGATTATACAAAGTAGTATACCTATAATCGGAACTTTATGATATATATTATTTGTTCATCAACCGATGATCAAAAATAATGATCCACAAGGTCACAATTCAAATTTTCTCATTATAGAGGCCTCTTAAAGAGTCTTAACCTTAAGTTTTGAAGTATCATAATTTTTCCCTTCTATAAATAATTAGTTTTTAATTATATGATAATATATAATACAATATTATTATTGCCTAAATAACAACAAATCGAGCATATTGTTTTTCAAAATATTGTCCAAAAGGTGCATCATATATTATAATATATTTATATTATATTAAGTACAAAGCAACCTAAATTATAGGTACGCTCCATAGAAGTAATAATTAAGTATTGGATAGGTAGGTATTACAATATTAAAACAATAATAATACATTTATCACTAAGTACCTATGGTAAAAGTCGTATACCTATGGTTTTGAAACGATGACTTATTAAAGTCACTTATTATTGTGTACCTATATATGAATGTATTATACTTATACACCTAATATATGTAGACATATATGGATAAGTACATATAATTATTATATAGTGTAAATTGTGTTTTACTGTTGAGTAATGGTCAAACCAAAATAAACACACCAACATTAGTGACATAGAACTTTGGGTGAAACACGATTGCGGACGCTTTACCTTTTTTGCAACACGGTTATGACTGACACTGTGTGACAAAAAGTATTATTTGGAACCCAATAAATGATACATTTCCGGTCGAAATTTAGTAAAACGTTGCACGACGCAGTATACAGAGGCTACAGAGCCCACCGATTATATCAATTTGATGATCAGCTTATTACTTTTTGGTATGTACACATTGTTAACTAGTACCTAAAATATGTATATTGATATTAATATCTATTCTTAATTATCTAATTAAATATTAGCACCAAAAAATTATCAATAATTGTCTATAATACCAACTTTTCATGTTAACTCAATTGGTTCTGTGTATTTATTGTAAATTGTAGCGCATTTCACCGTTAAAGGTAGATGATAAAAAAACAACTAAAAAAACTAAAAAAAAAAAAATACTTTAGTAACTTATTTGTTGGCTCTTGGACGTACAATTTTTTTTTCTTTTAAGAACAAACACTAAGATATAGTTTAAGACTATCTTAATTATAGTATATTATGCATCTGACAAAGCATTATAAACTTAAAAAGTTGTAAATAACGAATTATATAGAAAACAGTACATATACGTTTAACGTTTCTTGAAAACCGTCAAAGAATAGATTTATATTCATAGTTTTTTTACAAAATTATAGGTAGGTAGCTAAAACACACTATTGTGGTTATTTTCACAATAAATCTAAATAAATCGTAAAATTATTCCAGTAAGGTTTTTAAATATATCATGCCATTATGATGTCATTACTCATTGCTTTGCGGATTGTTCATGTATCACGTGGTTGAAACTATAAGTGCCGAATTAGTTTAAGATAGCCGATAGGTATATGAAACTCTTTTCTACACCATTCAGCACCAAATTAACCAATAAAACTATAATAATTAATAACTATTCAGTATTATTAACTATCGGAATAATAATTATTATGTGTTATCATTAACTTTTATAACCGACAATAGACAAGTGAACTTAGGATGTATAAAATAAAAATATTTATGGAATTTTCATGAACAATGTTGAAAAACATTTGAAAATATACGATTTCCAACAAGTAAAAAAAAAATACATCTCGAACGTTATAAATATAGATAGGGTAGAATATACATGGATTTTCATTAACGAATAATATAGTTATTTATTGTGTTATGAACCTATATATACCTATATAATAAACGCAACAACTTAAAAATTTGTTTTAAATCCAAGTCAATATATAGGTGCAGGTGGTACAGTAAACACAATGCGACGGTGTAAGTCCGTTCGATGGCCTATAAAATATCATAATATAACGTCACTTAACCCAAATCATATTAATTATTAAACTAAAAATCCAATTTTGTATTACAAATACGCACCTATGTGTATACAATCGCAATCAAAACGACTACAAACAGACAACAGTTATTATAGTAATATATATTATATACATACCTACGTATAGATGCCTATACTGATTGCAACCGTTTGTTATTATTATATTAACAATGGCGAATGGCTTTAGTTTGGGCAATGGCCCCCATTTAATTAACTAATTAATTTACTATATTGATTAACGCGGGGTGGCCTAGTTAAAATATTATATTGTACAGCACAACAATAATAATAATAAATAATGATACATTTCTGAGGTCAAGTAAATCGTTTCTAAACTATAATTTTAAAACAATGTGCGTGTAGTAGGTAGTAGGTAGGTACCTACATTATCTACGTCTAAGCATATTAAATATTATTATGTGATATACCATATACGCGTGGTATACTGCGACCACATGACGTATAGTTGTTGGTATTAAACTTCGAGTGTGACAGCTCAGCAGAGGATTAGTGGGGAGGTGTAGATCGTTTCGATTTTGATTTTACTCGCGGTCGGTCGTCGGGTGAGTGCGTGCTTTTTTCAAAACGTCACCGATCGTGTTACGTGTACATAATATATATATTATACATTATATCATATAATACAATACAATATAATATACATTATACAGGAACCAGCTTCGGTGCCAAAAGAAAAAAAATACGTCTAAAACGAAACACTCACGTCGGCGGTCTTCGTCGTTATTATAATATTATTACTGTCGAAAACGACACGTGAAGCGCAGAGGTCACGTCCGCGACAATAACAATACACGTTGACACTTGACATATTACATTATGAGGACACTACGCATATAATATTAAAATATTTATAAACGTTTCGAACGTCAAGGGGTCTAGCGATGATCGATAAATCATAAAAAGGTACCGTCACGGTAGTATCACTAGGGTTCATCATTACAACCGTTGAACCGAGGAACTATAGATATCTACGGGAAAACAGTTTTGCGGCCGATAGGTACGCCATTTTAGCTCGACTTCATTGCGTGCACGAGCACTATATTATCCATTGTTATTGCCGATAATGTAGATATATAATTAATAAAGTACTTATCGATGTTTTGTATTTATGTACAGAGAGTAAGATTACTCTCTAGATTCTGAGCGTAGAGATGAATGTATTGATTTTACAATGATGTGTGTTTTTTTTTTAAATTTTTTTTTGTGTCTATCATCACGGTTTGGGCACTATAACCACTTTGATTTTCTTCAACAGTATCTGCAGGTCTGATAGGAAAATCAATCTAGTTTGTGTATTCAGGAGGTTAAAATGTAAAATTCTCAATAGTTTTCAAAATTGCAAGGAAAAAAAAACAAAAATTTAGGAAAAACAGTAATTTTTACGCAAAATCAGTTTGGATTTTGGTGTACCTCTAAAACAAATAACCGTAGATACATGAAATTTTCACTGAATGTTTATATTAGAAATGTATAATATACACGATAAAATTTTCAAAATTTTAAATATTTATTTTTTTTAATTTTTTTCTATAAATACAATTTTATTTGTTGGGTCAAAAAGAGTGAAAATTTAATTCAAAGCTCCTGATACATTGCTACAATAACAGTTGAAAAATATTGAAAATACATGGGCACAATTTTTTTTTATAAACATTTAAAGTTCAAATTTTGACAAAATTTAATAAATTTAAAATTTAAAAACTATTTTGTAGTTAAAAATTTATAAAATGTTTAAGCTAGCTGTATAGCTAAGGTCTAAAAATGCAAAACAAGTATCCACGTAAATAGGTAAATAAATTACTTTATTCACAATAATATCAGAAAATATCCTTACCTAGTAATATATCATAGGCTGACTGACTGTCTTCGGTCAGAATCGTTTCTCGTATACTGCAATTATGTTATATTATTGAATTTAAATTTAACACCATCCATTACAATGGCCCACTGGCCACATGTAACCAATTCTAGAGCAGAGCGACACCCACTTGCCAACCTTTTATGTATCGATAATCGATATGGAAAAAGGTAAGCTGTTTCGAACTTTTGAAACTTTTTGAAATGTTGAAAGAAATGTTACTTGCATTCCGTCCTATTATAATTATTTTATTTCTTCATGGAAGACAGAAAGTGTCATTCTATGGGAATATTGGGGGTATAGGGGGTATAATACGGGGGTAAGGGTATCTGAGTATGGGAGCCACAAACCCGTGGTAAACTCTGCAATAATTGTTTTTAGTTTTCTCTACCACTCCATTAATACCTACATCCTGAGAATTCCTCTGATTAAATTTTTAATATTTATATAAGCTATGAGTTAGAAACTCAGAAAACGAAAAAGATGAAAGACGACTGTATTGGCACCAAGATTAAGTTAATGTTACCACAATACCACAAACTTTGGAAATAATAAAAGACCCCTCTAAGTTTAAATAACTTTGTAACTATGAAGACATTTAAAATATATTATATTACATAATATACTTATATTTAATTATATAGCATCGATATAGTCATATAGATAAGAAATATTAAACTGTGGCAGTGGAGCGCGTACTCCCTATTATAACCGGGACGTCACGACAGCAGGATACGCCGATGGATGCCGATGGATGACCTAACAGATGTTTTTTGGTGTCTCGACGTCGTCTAGTACCCGTCTTATCTCGATATTAAATTATTACTATAGGTACCTACCTACTACC